CCCCAAAACCCCAAAACCCCAAAACCCCTTATGAAATCTTTAGATTGAAGTTAAATAAAGTGTTAATCAGCTTTGCTGTTTTTCTTTATAAACCTGCAATCCTTGAACAAACCTTCAAACACTTTTCCTTCTTTATTGATAAGCTTTCCTTGACCATTGAACATTCCATTTGCCCATTCTCCGTCATACGAAGTACCATCAGAACCTTTAAAATTTCCATGGCCATGCTCTTTGCCATTTTTCCAGTTTCCTATATGCTCTGACTTATCTGGCCATATGAATGTGCCTTTTCCTTCAAATTTGCCGTTCTTCCACTCTCCTTCATAAGTAGAGCCAGTGCTTGATATAAATTTTCCTTTGCCTTCATATTTCCCATTTAGCCAGGTTCCTTCGTACATGCTCTTATCAGGGAAATAAATCTTGCCGAAGCCTTCGGCTTTGCCATTGGCAAAGTTTCCTTCATAAACTGTCTTATCCCTATAAGCTATGGAGAATTATTTGGTGAATTTACTCATTTTTCCCTTTCCATGGGGGACATCCTCCCTGATCTCTCCCTCGTAGTTGGAAGAGTCATTGAAGAAGAGAGATTTCTTCTCTGATTTCTTCTTTAACTTTATTTTTCTCTTGGAATCATCGAGATCAAGAGAGAGCCCTTTTAATTTTGATAAATCTATTCCTCCATGAGATCCCTTGCTCTGAGATAGTAAGGATTTATTTCGAACCCTCCTTATCTTCCTTCTTCTTTTTGTGTGTCTATAAGGTTGAGGATAGACTTACACTTGCTTTTGAAGTACTTTTGAGATGTGACTGAACTTTTTCTACCGGCTGACCGTTTTTCCATTCACCTTCATATTTGGTACCGTTTCCGTATGTGCAAATTCCATAGCCGTGAGGTACTCCTTTATACCATTCTCCGTCGTAGATAGTGCCTTCTTGAGTCTTGATACCTTTTCCATGGAATAGTCCGTCCTTCCACTCACCTAGATCAGATTATGTTCAAAATTCTGGAAAATGGGTGACGAAAAATTCAATATTAAGTTATCTGTTAAAAATTTTCACCAAGTAGGATTGTTTCTCAAGCAATTTAGACTTTAAAGAAGTACCTTTATAAGTCTCTTTGTATTTGATTTTGATATTCTTAGCTTCTTCTCCTTTGTCCTCTAAATCTCAAATGAGAAATTGCCAATACCTTCATTCGTATTTTGGCTGGATAAAGGCCACTTGCCTTCTCCATAACCATTAGGTAAGTTATTGCTATAATTCCCTTCGTAGATACTGCCATCAGCATTGGTCTTATTTGCCCTTTCCCTCTTTTACACCTTTGACAAATGTTCCTTCGAATTTATCAACTTTTTCACCAGAGCTAGTAGGTCTTTTGATAAGAATCTACACAAAGTGATCCTTGAGGCCACTTACAATTCCCTTGCCTTCAGGCAAATTGTTGACTAGAGTTCCAGTGAAGAACTCTGTAGTAGAAAGTGGATGATCTTTGACTTCCAGGGTAGTCATTTTTAGAGTTAGATTTTATTATTTGCAATCAGAAGCAAATAAGATGGGGTTTTGGGGTTTTGGGGTTTTGGGGTTTTGGGG